AGTAGATTTATATTCAAAAACATTTGTATTTTTGTAAAAGAACTATTATTGTAATCTATGTATATTTCTTCTCGATTTTTAAATTAATGTAAATTTTAATAATACTACTAATTGTGTTATAACTATAATACTATTAATACTACATTATTACTGATATCATTTAGTTTAGATTGGCATATCAAATTGGTTAATAAGGTAAAGATAAGATTTGCCTTGCCACTAACATAATTATACACATATATTTATATTTTATTATTATTTGTATTTACTTTAAATATTACATTTTTATTTATGTGATCATCTTTATTTTTATAACGGTTTAAGCTCTAATTATTATATTGTATTCCAATCATTATTACCCATGCCTAAGCGCAAATTATTATCTTTATTTTCTAAATTTCTGACATCAATAATAAGTAAAGCACACACATCCTTCCTACTTCATTTGTGTGGACTTGAAGGGGAAAAGTCTCCCCAAGCCAATCAATTTACTTGTAGAAAACTATTTTTGTTAATGTCTTTTAAGCAGGACTAAACTTTTTTCTACAATAGTAAATACATTCCAAGCTTTTATTCTTATTCTAATTCAATTTATTTCCAACTGGAATGGTATAATTCCTGCAAACAAAAAATAATGTATAAGTATTCTTAGGTTTTATAGAAAAATTACCGCTATATAGTAATTACTAATTATACCATATTATGAACAGTGTGATGAAACAATCTATATTGTTACATTTTGTATACAGTTGTGCTGAGTTCAGTTAAAAATGACAGTTCTTCAAAAACTAGAAGGCCTATTTTCCATTAGATTTTTGTATACATATAAAGTGTTGCCATTCGTCACATTATATTATATTATAGTAATAGTAGCAAATTAGTAGAAGTTAGTTTTTTTTTTTTATATAGATAGTTAAAACAGTTTACTTATAATGTAATTGATTGAATACAATAATTTTGATATTTTGTTGTAATATGATTGTTATATGGTTATTATCCAAAGTTAATAGACTCAAAAACTACTGGAGATCAATTCTCGAAATCATTTGATATAATTTGTAGAACAATTAGTTTACAACAATAGTCGAATGATTTTGGAGTATACTCCTAATAACAATTATTGGTACCTATTTTTGAACACCACACGTCAATTATACTGTCGTACACTACATTTTTAGGGTGCTAACGTACAAGTCGTATGAACCACGATTATGGTATATGAATTATCTGTTATTATCATGAAGGTAAGAACTCTAAATATGAATATAATAATTATGATACTCTGTTTAGTGTTTCCTGTTTATTTCCCTTCCACTATAACAACACCCCATAGTACTCGCTGGTGATTTAAATAGCCACCACACCGGGTGGGGATACGATGAAAATGACGAAAATGGGGAGGTTTCAAGCAAAAGGATAGAAACTGAAAACATGCAACTGATATTTAGCGGAAAAGATAGACATACTTTTCACTCATTAAGATTTAATCGAGCGTATAATCCGGACCTCTGTATTGTCTCTAAATATCATAATGGTGTATCACTTCAAGCACAACGATCTGTCCTAAATAATTTCCCAAAAAGCCAACATAGACCTGTACACATACAAATTTTTATCCAGATTCCACTAGTTAAAACAATACCTAAACCGAGATGGAACTTAAGGAAAGCGTATTGGCTTGCCTTTTCAAAATCCCTAGACGATAACATCAGGTGGATCGACCCAACAGTGAGCAACTATGAACGCTTCATTGGCATGGTTAAGGGAACTGCAAAAAGCTATATCCCCCGAGGCTACAGACACAAATATATTCCCTGCTGGAATAAGGAAAGCGACAGACTGTATGCAGAATATCAAAGGAATGGCCAAGTAGAAACCACGAACAAACTCTAACGATCGCTAGCTAAAGGACCCAAGAACCGTTGGACTGAAACTGTAGAAAGTTTAGATTTCAAATACTCTAGCCGGGGAGCCTGGAATGTAATACGCAGACTAGATCCCAACCAAAATTGAGGTGGCAGAGAACCTGAAATAAAACCTAATGCATTTGCGAATCACTAAGAGAGATATATCAAGGAAACTGACCATGGATCTTAAAGTAAATAAACCCGTGCAGTGAAAAATTTGAAGTGGGCTGACAAATTTTTACCCGAAGAAGTACAACTAGCATTAAAACGTGTAAAACTTAGGAAAGCAGCTGGACTTGATGAAATATACCAGGAGTTTATAAAACATAGTGGGCCCAAGACAATTGTATGGCTCTTTCACTTCTTCCCCGATGGTCTCCATATGGGAAAACTACCAAAACTCTTTAAACATACAATATTTAGCAGTCTTAAAGCCATTAAAACCAAAAAATGATGTAAACAGTTATAGACCGATATCTCTACTAAGCCTATGCTACAAATTACTGGAAAGATTGATCTACAACCGCATTGCTAGTATTTGCATTGATGATATTATTTCACTTGAACAAGCTGGGTTCCGCCCTAATAGGAGTTTCTATGACCAGGTTATGGCACTTACTACCCATATAGAAAATTGATATGACAGGAACGTCAAAACTGCAGTGGCATTCATAGACTTATCATCTGCCTATGACACCGTCTGGAGAAAAAGGCTTTTATCAAAATTCCTGGATGTGATTCCATTCAAAACGGTACTAAAACTTCTCAACAACATGCTTTGTAACAGATTTTTCACTGTTTATATTGGAGAAGAAAAAAGTAAAATAAAGATGCTAAATAATGGCCTTCCTCAAGACTCTGTCTTTGCACCCCTTCTCTTTGACCTATATATTAAGGATCTACGAGCGACAACTGCAAAAAATTTATCTATGCTGATGACCTAGCCCTAGCTTGCCAGAGTAAAGATTTTGAAGACCTAGAAAACATCTTGTCTGAAGACCTTGATATATTACTTAAGTTCAATGCAACTAGTTACAAACTTTATGAAATTGAGGTAATTCTCTATTAAGAACTAGTGTTTGGTAGCTATTAGTGGTTCAAAAGTTTAAGGCAACTAAAACCTGAAAAACATATTATATACCCTCTAATATATAAAATAAAAATGTTTAGATTTAAATAATAATTGTCTAGATGATTGTTAAGAGGATTTAAGCCCAAATTTTATTGTCTTTTTCTGAGGAATAGACAATATTAAAAAAATATCCCTAAACAGAACTTGAATTATGGTTTTAAGGTTAAATTTAGATTTATTTAGAATTATTCACGGCAGCACACAAGGCAGCGGTTGTAAACTGAAAAACCCTGAAGAAATATTTTTTGGTGAATACTAATATTACAATAACATTATTTTTATAAAATATGTACGATTTGATAAAGAACTAAAGAAGTGACAATATTTTAAGCAGTTAGTCGGGAGGTACTAGGTACTAAAACTTTTTTTAAATTGGTTTAATTTTTGATTAAACTAAAAATGAACAAAACTCAATAAGTGATTTTATAAGATTTAAAGATTATATTATTATATAGGTACCTAATAAGTGGAAATAACTAATAAATTATCTACCTAAATATCTAAAATGAGGGGACTTCACACATGTGGGGTGATTCCGGACAGCACCAAGTTTTTGTAGTATCTTATAACTTAAGAATACACGTTTAATAAAAGTTGAAAACTAATACTCTACGTTAATATCTATTATAACTTCCATAGAAAATAATATTTATTGATGACATGGTAATGATGTCATAGTACATGTTATGGAAGTAAATACAAAATATTATATAAATGGATTTTTAAATTATATAATTGATAACTACTGTATCACAACAACAAATAGACATATTTGATTGCGGTTTTCGGTAACCTATTTGTTAACTTGTCTATGTTAATTGGTATATGTGCAAATTGTTAAGTTATTTGATCTCACACTGTAGTGTTAAATCGTCTTAATTATTATAAAACGAGAGGTGACTTTGGACAACACATTATCTATGCCCAGATCACATGTCAACAATGTAGGAAGTCGTTCATACAAGAATTATAATCCTAATGATATTAAAAATGCAGTTGATGCTGTTAGAAATAAAAAAATTACAATACGAACAGTTATAACAGAAAAGTATAAAATACATTTTAAGTTGACATTTTTATAGAAAAGTACAGAATTATTTTTTAATAATATTAAATAAATTATGTTGTATTTGCTATAAATGTTTGCGGTTTTATAATTTAAATTTATTACATTTTTTTTTTAAATATCTACATTGTCCGAAGTCAACCGTTATAATTATAACATCGGTTTTTAACAAAATCTAATACGTGTCCGAAGTTGCTCCATTTTATGGGTCACTCCGGACAAAATTCAACTTTTAAAAAAAAATGTGAACTTTAATGACCTTCATGATTATTCTTCTGCTATATGTTTTCAACAAACTTAAGGAACATGGTATATTTTTAATAATTTTAGAAACAATATATTGAGGTTAATTTTTTAAAAAACGTTCAAATCTGTCTGGAGACACTCCATTTTACGGCACCTAATCTAATACTTCACTTAAGCTACAAATGTTCCTCAATTTCTAACAACTTTAACTTGCCTTTGTTGTTATATCTAAATCTGAATATATTTTCTGTGGCCTAAGAAAAGGACCAAGTTCTTGAATTAACGTGTTTGTTAAATTTTTTGTAAGTCTGTAGTTTATAATAAATGCCGAATCTGAAGGTTTTTGTGACTATTTCACAAACCTCGGAAAATAATATTGTCATAAATATATTTATGGTAAACAATTCTTATGATAGTTTAAAGTTTACATATAGTAAAAGCTTAAATTAAAAAAAATTATATATTCAACAAAGGAATGGTTAAAACATTATAAATACAAGATAATTAATTTCCCTATAAACAATATTTAAAATAATATTTTAATATAAAGGAATTATTTTATTTTCTGTAAAATAACATTCATTTAACAATATTATTAATAATAAATACAAATAATTATACTGTTTTATGAAAATAAGTTGAGTTTTTTTTAATGAATAATAGAATTAGTCGCATATTCAAACATTTTTTTAAACAATTCAGAATTCTTTTCTATCACAATAGCATCAATATGATAGTAATTCTTTTTCATATGAGCATTTGAATTTACCCATTTGTTGTCGTGAGGATTGTATATTTCAAATGTATTTGAATAATACATATTCATCGTTTTTCCTGCAAATACATAAATCTGACCGTTTATTGCTACAGCACCTATAAATACAAAATAATGATTACCATATCAAATTTTTTTAATAACCAAGTTTTTATATTTTACCAGAAAACGATCGGGCATAATTTAGTTCGGATAAGGATACCCATTCTTCAGTTGTCGTACAATATGCCCATACTCTTTTGGAATAATCTCCCAAACATTCACCACCAATTATATAAATATTTCCATTTAATGTGCAAACCGCAGAACCTGTATTAAACTCAGGTATTATATCAATATATTTCCACGTGTCATTACGAGGGTCATAATATCCAGCTTCATACATTCCAATCTAAATTAAAAGTGAAACATCCTTTATTAATGTGTATAATTAAATTGGCATCAGATGGTTTAATGTTGTTTGCTGGCAGAAAATTCCTGATTGCTTCTCTGAACATAAGTCAACTGTCTACTATTCTATTACGGCAAGCAGGACGGTGAAGCAAGATATTTTAGCTGTGCTACTGCTCATGCACTTAACATGAGTGGAGTATGGTTGGTACTTTTGGGAAGTAAAAATAAAACATCCCCAGTAAATTTTAAAATAATCGAAAAAAAAAAAAATACAAATATTTTAACTTTTTAAAATTGTATTATTATTAAAATAGGTAATAGTAGTGGTTTGGTTACTAAATAGTTAATTCATATTTGCTCAGTATTGTTGTTTTTCATTATATTTAATTTAAATTATATCCATTACAGTGCCTTATTGCATAGCAGAGAACTTCCTACTTGAATTTCTTATTTAAATTAATGATGAAAATAAAATTAAGATGCCAAGACAGCAAATATTGTAACAATAATGAAGAATAAAATTATCTGTTTTATCAGACATTTTTTTTAATATTTTAATTTTTAAGACAGTTATTAGTATTTATTAAATTGATTTTTTTTAGTTATAAATAACTGTATTAGAAATAAAAATATTAAAAATATTTTGACAAAACACAGATTATGTTGTTCTTTATAATTTTTATAATTTTTCCATTTCAACAGTAAGCAAAATTTTGAGAAGTTTAAACCAAACGACTAAGAAAAAAATTATACTTGTGAGTTTTCCTAACTCTGACTGTTACAGTCTCTCAAGTAGTTGGTTTTTTGTTGTGAAAAAAACAGTTTTTGTCAGAAATTTATGTGTGTGGCGTTTAACCAACATTTATTATCATGGTCTATGCACTTTAATTTTACCTGATTGTATTCATTAAGTATGATACGTGGTTTTATACTCTCCGTGTGCTAGAAGAAGACAACTATTTTACAATGCACCTTTATAAGCTAGGTAAATTAACTGTACATTTTGTATTTATATATTTTTAAAAGATTAAAAAAAACATCTTACTATGTAAATTAATCCTTGAACGCAGGCAACATAATTATTATTTTTAAATGACCCAATTAGGTGGACTTCACAATTTATGACACGCCATTCATTTCTCTGTAAATCAAAACATTCTATAGCACTGGCATCTTCATCATAGTCTTCATATTCTTCATCTAGTCCTTCGCTAGTGATACCACCAATCTAATAACAAATTATACAAATTATACATGCATAATATATTATTGTTGTTTTTTTTTTTTATTAATTTAAATTTTTTATAGTTCTACACAATTATCAGATTATAATAGATGAACCGATAAATAGATATTATTAAGGGTAAATAAGATTTTTACCGCATAAACATAAGATCCAAGTTGCACTATAAATGGTTTTAGACGTTCAAAATGCATGTCCATAAGGGATCTCCATTCGTTTGTTTTCACATCGAATAGATATGTTGATTTCATTCCATTGCCATCTATATTTGCACCTCCAGCAGCAAATAAGCAACCATCATCGAGTAAAATAACTGTACTCAAAGTTGTAGGTGGTAATAAACAATATTGAAAGGTTATAGATCGACAATTATTACATATGCAATTCTGCCATTTATTTAACGCAACGTCATACCACTCTAGAGTTGATTTAAATTGATAATAACTTATCAATAATATGCCCTAAGAAAATAAGAGCCAATGAATATATAGTAATATCTAAAATGTTTTTTGTAATTTTGAAGGTAACTTGTCTATTTTTAAAAACTTTTAGCATATAAACAATACATTAATTAAGTAAGCACTACTAACTTTTCTAAATGGTCTTCGATGCTCCATTCGAAAAGAACAAAGTTTATCAATTTTAGCGCCTTCATAATTATGTAGCTTTAGGACTCCTTGGTAAGTATGTAGAATTAATGGCATCCGAACATACCATAACAATTCTGAAATATATTTGGATCTAGTTGCTGGATCATATCTCATCCAATTCATTACAACATCATAAACCTTTAAAATTACGATACAATAACTACAACGATTCAATAATTTAATTAAAACAATTATACCATGTCTTCTTTAGCAAATAAATTATCATTCTTGATTAATAGCATTATTTCATCATAATTAGTCTTCATAAACTCTTTGGAGCTAGCTACAAATCTAAAAATAATGAATAATTTTAGTCGATTTATTTTTCAACTAATGTGACTTTACACAAAATAATAATTATATTAATTATTTAGTCATTGTTAGCTCTCAAAGAATGGGTTATTTATGGCTATGCTAGTAACTACTAAGTATAAAATTATGTAAGAAGGTAATTGTAATGTAATGTAATGTAATGTAATTGTTGAAGAGAGGTTTTTTTCAGTTTCATTATGGACCGATCAAAACTTTTGCCCCCCTCTCAAAAACCGAAATGACGCCACTGAATTAGAATGCACTCCATACACCATAATCTCCCCCTAACCACTGACAAAATAACGCCCATAAAAGGTGTTGTCTCAAAGTTATTGACAGCAAATAATAAATATATGGGTTCATGTAATTGTGAACTTATCACATTGATTGATTGCATTATTTGATTTTTTTTTTTTTAAGTGAAAACTTCTTTAGCGGCATCATGCACTTTTTTGTGATGTGTGAAAAATGTTAAACTTGAGTCAGGACACTTAAGATTATTAAACGAAAGAAAAATAAACATACTTCTAGAAGTCCAATTTCAATTTTGAAAACTAATTTGTATTCAATAACTTCTTTTCTATATTTTGTAGGAAAAACTTTTCATTTTTTTAACTAGTTGAACCTTTAAAGTACAAGTTCATTTTTAAAAGTTAAGTAAATTAATTTGCACCTGTAAAACTACTACTACTACTTCTACTACAACGCATCTATATTGTATCATTGTATCATCATACCATTCCAAAATATCAAAAATGCACGACATTAATATTCAAGTTTCCACTTTTGACTGCTTTTTAATTAGAATTTTGCTTAGGAGTAGGTATAAATATAAATATTACCTGAAATTGTTTATTATATAAGTCATGCACATAGAATAGAGATCAGTTAATCCTAGGGTATCGGCAAATTCTTTCATATTTATGCAATTTTCCACGTCAATTAACTTTTTTATGTAGTTTACACATACAGTTTTTACTTCATCTAGTAAAAACATATTGGAAATAGTCAACAGATCCTGAAATAAAAATAAAATTGAACATGTTAACCTATACTCCAACCCAAAAGAGAAGTAAGCCAATTCACAAATGCAGACTGACATCAGTGATTATATCGAGGCATTATTTTCCCCACTCAGACATTTAGTGCGGTATACATAAGCACATACTAAATGTCCAACTCTTGTCAATATTATGACCTGACAGGTTGTTGGTTAACAGCCCATCGGTCGCGGATTTGAGAAGCGCAGGACAAGGATGTGCAAACTCAGATATGATTTGGTCGAGGCACGGTTTACTTCTCTTGTTGCCAGAGTACAATATATTATAATGTTAATATGACAAAATGTTATAAAAAAACAAATAATGAAACTAGATACACAAAAATATACAAAATAAATATTACCTGAACATTATTTTCTGTTATATATATTTCTGATGTGTAAAAAAATTGAACAAGTGTATTCAAAATTTCAAAGCTAACATCACTTATATTTATTACTATTTTATCTTGGAACCGTTCTTTGAAATGAATGTCAAACATTCTATCAAAATAGTGACAATTTGAAGCTAAGACCTTTTTGTGGGCATTTAGTGTTTGGTTGTTCACTACTAGTGATACGTCCATTGTACATGCGTCTCTGAAATGTACGATTGTTTATTTTTAATTTATTATATTAAAAAATAATGCATTTTATTATTTAATTGTGTAATAATGTACACAATTTGTTTACTGAAAAATAGTAATATGGTAAATTGTATACATACAGTTGCATCAAATTGTTGTAAGGTTCATTTTTTCCTTTGTATTTTAAACCTTTAGATGTTAAAGCAATTTCGATATCATCATCTGGATATCTAAATAAACAATAAATATATACACAAAATGGTTACATTCTTGTACTTTTTTATACACTTAACATATAACAAATTTTTTTTTTTAAATATTTAGAAGAAGTAAGTGTTATATTTTTAATTAACAATATAAGTCAGTTCAAAAACGAAATTAAAAAAAATAGTTGTTGATTTATAAACAAATTAATTAATGGATGTTGGCCCTACATGTTTTTTTCTCAATAACCCAAACGCAACATAGCAAATTAATGTCTGGCAGTTAGCAGAATTTATCATTTGTTTAATATTAGATTGAATTGATCTATTACCTATTATCAAACATAGTCAAGAACATAGTCTGAGTTTTACATTAGTTTTTTTTACATTAGATATATGAGAATTTTTAACCTATAATAAATTACATACTTAACCCTACGTTCAAACAGAAATAATGTTCAAACTTGTTGTTTTATACTACAATAATAGAATCTTGATTATCTGATCTAATTGAGACCGCACCTAGTTCGGAAACGTGAAAGTTTGCATGCTAAACTATTATTATTACTGGGAAAACATTAATATGTTTATACATTTCCCAAAAGTACATACATAAATACATAATACTATATAATATACCTATTAATATTTATAATTTGTTATTAATAATATTGAATTATTATATACATTAATTAATTATACATAACTACATGTCTACATGATTATGTGTACAAGTGCTACAACGCTTATTGATGTTCGGATTATAGAGGGTTCATATAATCGATGTTCCACTGTACGTCAATTTACTCTTAATGGAAGGAATGTGAATAAAACAGTTCCCCTATCATCGTCGGTTCTAAACGGGAAGGTGAATTTACTCAACAAAATTAATAACACAAAATTGATTCTGTTGATTGTAAATTTGACATGACGCAAGGGGGTCTGAGAAAGAAAACAAATAGGTAATGCACTAACAATTGTATAAATGAAATATTGATTGAAGAACATTTTTGGGGTAACTATAACTATAGGTAAGGTTTTTTATAAATAGCAATTTAATAGTACCTATGTAGTATATATTCCATAAGGCCTAGTTCACATGAGAGCATTAAACGCGCGTTTGGCTAACGCGCGTTTAGAAAATTTACACAGGATGAATGACGACGCGAGTTAACGCCTTGCAACGCGTCGGAAAGCTGTAAACGCGCGTTAAAATACAGCTGTATTCATTATTGTAAACGCGCGTTTGGCTAACGCGCGTTTAACGCTCTTCATGTGAACCTAGCCTAACAATTAGGTATTAAGATAAGATCAAAACTTATTGTTAATAAAAATACCTATTTGAGTTTAATGAGATTGTCTCTCGGTCCATCCTGCCGCCGTTATTACCCAATGAGTTTTGTCCAAAATGTTCAAACACAGTTGAAAATTACATACATTCCTTTCTAGTGATGGAAAATATTGTACCATTAAATATTGATTTGCGTTCAAAATGTGGTGTAGTCTTGGAACTCGGATTTGCCGCATATAAGCAATATGCCACCATCACAATATTGAAGATAATAAGACTACAAGAATGTGGTTAGACATCATTTATTTCTCGTGAAATTCCAAGGAGGATAATAAAAAAACTAATGATACCAACAAAGAATCCAAAATTCCCTACAAATTATACGAATGGGTATAACCAACCTAACCTACAAAAAAAATTAATTTATATATTTTATGAAAAAATGTATTTCTATATTCAAAAATCATCGTATAATAATTATGGTGAGGTTCAAATATTATTATATAACTTATACATAAGGTAGAATGTACCTTCTTAATAATTGAGTTCAAAAAATTTTAGCACCTGGGAAATGATGTAGGTAGGTACGCTTCTGCTTCGAACTTTCAGGTTTCATAAAGATAATACTTTTATTGGAGGATTTAGGTATTTAGATAGGTTTTTCAAATTCGAATTAAATCCAAAACATAAATAATTCAATATAAGTCCTATTGAAGCAGTCAACCCTTGAGATCAAATTTCTGTTCTCGAAAAAGTCACGTATCGATCTAAAGATTGACAAATTGCATAGACATAATAAGATATGGACTGCTACTCCCCCACACCCTGCCTTAAGTTTATTGAAATAAGATTGTTAGAAAGAGATAGTCAATACATGTGTAATGTAATGTGACCCGACTACCTAAGGTGTATGCTATCTTTTTCTAAAAATGTTGTTATCTTTGTTGTTGAACTATTCTCCCTCTCTCTTTTATTAATTGGTGTAAATGGTACCCAAGTTGTATGCTATCTTTTTCTAACAATGTTGGCCCCTGGATCTCTCTCTGTTATCAGTCCATTTCTTTATAGGTCTATGACAAATTGACAAAACAAATTTTCCGCAAATTTTTTTTTTTTTTTAATAATATAAACTTTGAACACATAATTTACCATCTTAATAATTGAGCCAAGCAACTTTTACCAAATGGAAAATAATCTAGGGACTCTTCTGCTTTGATCCTTAAGAGGACGCTACAGCCGCATGTGTTGTCTCCGTCTTACACACGTACGACATAGACAAAACGCGTTTAGGCAGTCTGAGTATAACTCGCTCAATTTTGGTTCTAGAGTAAAAATACCTATTATGAAATTGAATTGTGATAATATTTCTAAGGGCAAGACGCTGCGTTTTTTTTAAAAAATTTAATTTTTTAAAAGTCAAAGGTATTTAAAAAATGGTGAAATTTTTTCTATTTCTAAACGATATAATGAACGTTATATTGGGTATAATGGAAAAACCGCAGCGTCTTGCCCTTAGAAATATTATCACAATTCAATTTCATAATAGGCATTTTCACTCTAGAACCAAAATTGAGCGAGTTATACTCAGACTGCCTAAACGCGTTTTGTCTATGTCGTACGTGTGTAAGACGGAGACAACACATGCGGGTGTAGCGTCCTCTTAATGGTTTCATTACTGATACTTATTTTATTTCAACATGAACTTCATTTTAGGTAAAAATATAAAAAGTTGTGAATCTTTTGTTAAAATGTCCATAGTTAACTATAGAAAATTGGTAGGTGTCCGCAAGCCTGAGCAAGTTAATGATAGTTTTTAATTTAGTGAAATAATTTATGTTGATAGAAAATATTTTTAAAAGTTGAGAGTTAATAGTTATCCTAATTTTAAATTCTGAGTGGAGCGATGAATGTATTGATTTTAGAATGATGTATGTTTTATTTTTATTTCGGTCTATGTACACTTTAAGTAGTCAAATAATTTTTAACTTTAGTATGATATTCTATGAGAAAGTGAATCTAGTTTGTCAAATTCCCAGTAATTTAAAAAAAAAAAAGAAAGAAAGACTTTAATTTTCAAGCAAAATTGGTTTTCGACAAAATCCTATTTTGGTTTTTAGTGTAACTCTAAAATAAAAGACAGTGTATACATGAAATATTTACTGGTTGTTTATATTAGCATCATGTCTATACATGATACAATTTTTAAAATTTTTATGTGTTTTGAATTTTATACGAACATTTACAGTTTTAATTTTTTTTTTTGTTTTTCTATACTATAAAAATCAAGAAAATTTTATTTGTTTGTCAAAAAAGCTTAAACATTTAATAGAAGGCTTCTAGTATATTGTTTCAATGGCAGATAAAAAAAATTAAAAATCCATAGTCAACATTTTTTCATATAAAAGCTGTAAAGTTCAAATATTGACAAAATACTAAAATTTTGCAAATTATTTAGAGTCAAAAATTCATAAAAAATGTCTTTTTAATTCTAAGATTTGAAAATGTAATACTAGATTCCTCATAAGTTTGTCTACCTTTATTAAAAAAAAAAATGTCCACAAGAAAGTCAGATTAAATTTGTATGGGCGTTTGGAATTCATATTTTTACAAAATTTCATATTCACTCGATTCCTCATGTAACGATTTTCTTATTTTGTTGTAATTAAAAAACAAATGACTGTAGATACTTGAACATTTCACTGAATGTTTATATTATTTTCATTGAAAATATTTTGACTCTTTTTGAGCTGTTTACGGACTGTCAGTTTTTAATTTTTTTTCAAGTAAAAATGAGTGAAGATTTAATACAAGGTTCCTGATATATTGTTTCAATAGCAGTTGAATAATATTAAAAATACATAAGCACAATTTTTTTTTAGAAGCATTTTAGGTTCAAATTTTGACAGACATAAGCAAATTTAAAATTTAATAATTATTTTATAGTTAAAATGACGGAGAATAATATTTTTTAGGGTATGATAATCAACGATTATCATTTAAATTTACAATTTTTTTTTATTTTTAAAGTTGAATACAAAGTCAAACAATAACAACTAGGGTCTGGATTTATATGCATTTGCATATTATGTAACAGTCTAAATAGTATCTAGATAACCTACAAGTTTGAGTTATAATCAATAGATCTGAAATACAAAGTATTATTTTGCATATTTTTGCATATTTTGTAATTTTTTATGTAAACTGAATATATCTGTATTTTATGAACACAGAAGTGTTTTTTACCCATTTGTTTTACTAATGTTGATAGTTTTCCCGGACTATTGCGGACGGGGTCAACATTAAGGAAAAACTATTAATTTGGTGTATACGAACAAACCATTGAAAATATCAGTGGTTTTCTTTTTTATCATTAAATATGAATATAGACCGTAAAATATAATACAACTATATTAAAACTAGGTACATATAATTCTACTACTCTAAATTAAATTATTAATTAAAATGCATTTTTGTTTGCATAGTTTAAGCAAGGCTTGAAACCTGTTTCAGAACATATTTCAGAAACCGCTATACACCTTTAAAATACCATACCGAAAAAATTGGAAACCTTTATACAAAATCGAAGTTTCCCAATACTGGTACTGAACAACTGAAACCAAAATCTAAAAAAGTGGGTAAGTGGAATATACTGCTGTACAGTATATTACAAGTGGGTCAATGTATAAAGGATTGTAGGTATTAAACTTGAAGTCAATGATATAATATTATTGTGTAAGAAAAACGATTCTGAACGTAGACGGTTTGTCAGTGTGGATATTGTTATTATATATTATATCCTGTAAGTTTAATCTATATTATAATAGGTATTATTATTTTTTATTCGTTTCTATTGTAATAAACAAAGAGGTAGATATTAAAATCCCATTTTTAGAGGTTTTTCGTTATTTGTCAGTGGTTTTTCCTGTGGCATTAAATAACTATTGAGAAAATCGAAAAATGACCTTTCTAAAGTACTATCTTGATCCAATTTGCTAAAAGATAAGGTACTATATGTATATAGTATACCTTCTTGTAGATATTTTGTATAAAGGATATTAAAAAAAAAAAAAGTTAGAAAGAAGGTTAAGAAGGTTTTAAGAAGGTTTTGTATATTATGTTTATTTTAAAGTGAGAAAAAAGAAATATTACATAGAGGTTAAATCTAATTTTAGTAATCAAACATTTACTAACAATTTGTAAAAGAAATTGGTATCAAATTGTTTTTCTGTAATATATTAATTGTTAACATAGGTCCTAATATCTAATATGTCAATATTTTTTCATTTACAAAAGAACCTACTATAACTAGGCACCTATAGTGTAATTTAAAAAATTAAAAACAAACTTTTATATGGTCGGATTATAACTTATGCATTTTGAGGGAATATGCATTCACCACCTCTCTAATTAATTTTCAAGGTCCCTCATAAGTTTTTATAAATAGAAATAACAAAAAAAAATTGAGTATTCTTTATTCAAATTTTGAATTTTCACTGGTAAAATATCATTGAACAATTTTTTAATTTTTTTATAATCCAAAAATAAATAACCGTAGTTAGATACCTACTTGAATTTTTAAATTTATTTTAGTATTTTTTCTTTCAGTTCGATAAATTGTTTTTGTTGTATCTAAAAGTATGAAAGTTAATTAATTATAAGGTTCCTCATAAGTTGTTTTAATAGTAGTTTAAGAATAATAAAAAAAAAAAGCGGTTAAGTGGATATGTATAATGGACTGTATTAAAGTTGAATTCAGTGATAAAGTGGTCAGTCTGGATTTTTTATATTGTTATTATATTTTATTATAGCCTGTTAGTTGAATTAATATTATAATATTATTATTTTTTATTCCTTGCTATGGTGATAAACAAAGCGTTAAAAATTAAAATCCCATTAGGTAATGAAAAAATATTGGAATTTTAGATATTAGGACCTATCTTAACAATTAATATATTACAGAAATAAAATTATACAGTGATCCACTTGTAACCTACTGTACAGCAGAGCGACATCCACTTACTCGCTTTTTTTTTAATATAATATTTATATTGTAATTATTAAAATGGAAGCCAGTAAGTTGT